GGTCTTTTTTGTTTGTTTAGTTTTGGTGGGTTTTTTAATATGTGGAAATGTTAGAGTCTAAAAAAAAAAAATCTCTCACAACTACTTTAATATCTGTGTGTATCAACAGACAGGGAAACACTGTGCAGAAAATATTAATTTTTTTTTTTTAAATCTCATTTTATGAGTGAATGTTTGACACTGAATCAATTGATTTCTAATAATTTAAAGAGGAATAACTAGCCTAGGCACATTCCACAGGAATTTTATTTTACTTCTTTCAACCTTACATACTGCTTGTGGTACACTGATGCTGTATGTCAGTATTTTTGTAATGCACAGAGCAATTAACAAGAGTGAGAGAACATTCTGGGTGGAGACAAACAAACTGCCTTCTGTGTAAGTGCCCTGCTGTAGTGTCCCTCTTTACTTTCCAGACAAAAAAAAAAGGGAACAAACATGAGCAACATTAGAATATACTTAGGTGTTGTGCTCTACATCTGTGCTTGAAACTTGAATACTTCTATGCTTCAATCATACATCTTRGCAGCAGTCAAAGCTAAGGTTTCTTGATGCCTTCATAGTATGGGCAAAACTTTATATAGGAATAWYTTTTTTTWTTTTTTTTTWAWWWTWAAARARKKGGATTCCTGAAAGTTAACTGAATGGAATTGTTGCAGATTACTTTACTAGAAAGAAGAAAGAAGCATGAAGAAAGAAGCACCTATTTCCTTCTTCCTGAACCATTTATAGACTWGCATATGACACTAGAATCCGTCTTTTACAAGCAGGGAAAAATGTCTGATATCCACCATTTGCATGACCAAAAAACTGATTTAGGTGGCGCTATTATTAAATGAATGGACAATAAAAGGAAAACTATTTCATTTCTAATGYCTGCGGAGTAGAGTAAGATCCTACCCTTTATTGCTTTTCATTGCCTATTCATGGATCACTGAATAGGCAGGATTGAAAGGGACCACAGAGCACATCTGGTCCAACCTCCCTGCTCAAGCAGGGCCATCCCACAGCACATTCCACAAAACTGCCTMCAGACAGTGAGGAGGAGGCCACACCCTCTCAGGCCAATCTAGTGCAGTGCACAGTTACCTGCACAGTAAAGAACTTCTTCCTTATATTCAGGCGGAATTTCTGTGCGTCAGTTCTTCTGCCTGCTGCCTCTTGCACTCATGCTCAGCACCAGTGAGAAGAGCCTGATCCATTGTCTCTGCACTTTCCTTTCAGATACTCACAGACCCCCTCTCTCCTCTAAGCTAAAGATGACCATCTCCCTCAGTCTTTCCTCATAAAAAAAGATGCCTCAGTCCCCTTATCATCTTTGTTGCCCTTTGCTGGAGCCCTCATTCCAGGAGCTCCAWGTCTTTCTTGTACTGAAGGGCCCAGAACTGGGCACAGCACTCCAGATGTGGCCTCATCAGGGCTGGGAACACAGACAGGATCACCTCTCTCAATCTGGCGGCAATGCTCTTCCTAATATCCCCCTGGATACCTTTGGCCTTCTTGGCCAAAAAGGCATATGWATAAAACACTAATAAATTTTAATAAAAGAATCAAAGCACAGTTCCACTTATTTGGTTTTCAACACAAACTTTCAAAACAAAGAGCTCCAAAGCAAATAGCATGGACTCCTGTTTTCTGAAAGGCAACTTCCAGACTTCTCTTTTCAAGCCTTGTTTCCCTTCAAATTCAATGTTTTCATATGGGTCAATCTGTCCTGGAAAGCAGCCAAGTTCTTTATACACAGCAAATCAAAAGCAGTTTCCAGTTATCTCAGACATTCATTCTTGGTCCCGACTCTCATAATATTCAGCCTAACAAYTGCAAGTCTATGGAATATTTCCTGTTTTACTCTAGTAATAGAAAAGAGGATTCAATATTTTGTCTCTGGTAAGGCCTTTTAATATTATCATCTGTAGATGCCTTTTCTGCTCTCTTTCCTTTTTGAACTGTAAAGTTCTAACACTGAGAAGCTAAAAATTTATTTACATTCATAGTTCTTTTGAGACCTAAATACTAAAAATTGGTCATAGTATAGGAACCTAACAAAACATTGTAATATCTGTAAAGCATACAACTACAGTTACTCTACACTGCCACAGATAGAAAAAACTGACAAGTTTGGTTGTAAAGATAAAGACATATTGGCAAAAATGTTGCTGTTCTGTGCTGGGGAACTTATCTGCATAGTTAAGCTAGATTTTGTGAAACAAATAATCAAACAGTGAATGTAAGTAGACACTTCTGTCCTGGAATTACCCTGATTTCACTGGCATTCCATATTAGAGTGGCAATACTGGCGGGTTGAATTGTGAGTGAACTCTGACTTCCTCCTCTGGGTAATGTTGCAAGAGGCAAATGCCAAGCTCTTTCTGTGATAGAACCATTGSAGAACAATTAGAAGAACATATGAAAGTTACTTGGGCATCTTCTGCAATCCAGACTCACACRCATACCACAGGGATGAGTAAAGCATAAGCAGCTACAGATCCAACTCACTCTACTCTGTTTTGTATTTCATTAAATCTAGCTAATTCATGTTCACACCTATTATGTATATTTATTCCTATCGCAGTTATGTGAGGCACAGAAGCACTCTTTCCCAAAAAGGCATCATCAATGGAGTGTTTTTCCACAATACTACTGTTGCAGACTGTACATGGTGAAGATTTGTGTAARTTTGCAAAGTAGAGGCTTTGCAATAATAGAATTATCATCCARACTAATGCCCTTAGCACTGAATTATGCCAGGTCTTGGGAAGTAATACAGCAAGCCGTTCTACTTTTAGCAATTCAGAATTTTAACCCTACCAAAACTTCCTTAAAAAGCSCTGTTTCTCTGCAGGCCCCTAGCTTTCTCTGATGTTACTCCTTTATCTAAATCCATAGTCACAGTATGTTCATGAGTTCTTGTACATTCCCAGTGTCAGATTAAATCCATGAATCTACTCCTGGGGCAAATATACTTCAGCAGTTGCAAAAGCCATATGTATTATAATTGGGCACAATGCTCAATCTTTATAAACTTCATTGGCTTTAATAAAAAAAAAAAAAAAAAAAAAAAAATTAAAAAAAAAAAAAAAAAAAAAAAGAAATTTATTTGAATTTTAACTTCATAACTAATAATGTTTTGTTCATTACTCATTTGCATATGCATATAATTATGCATTGCTTTAAAAATAGGATGTGATGTTAGTGTTGTCTGAAGCGACATTAGGCCACTGTTATTGCTCTTACTATCAGGAAAAAAATAAGCAGGAAAGCTACATATACCTTACAAGAAATTGATTAATCAATGGGCCTAGCAAAGAAACATACACTGTACAGTCAGGCAGTTTTGCCACTCAGTCCCCACCTCTACCTTCTTCAGCTGCTGTGGCAGACAGAGAYGAGGGCAGTTGTTTCTTTACAAAACCCAGAATCATAACTTCAGTTTAGAACACTGTCTTTCAAAACACATGCATGCACATCTCATGATCAGTAGGTTTGTAAATATATTTTAAGAAACTATGATGACAAAGAATACTATTTCCCCCTGAGTTTTCACTTTCTTTTTGCTTCCCCTGGTCCTCTTTCACATCTCCCTTTAATTTGCAAAACTTTTAATAAAATATGTCATCCTATGTTCATTTTCAACAATGTAGAAACTGTGGATAAAAAGTGCTCCTTTTAGTTAAAAAGGGAAAATCTTATCTTAGGGAGTTAAGAACAAGTCCTTGGTGCTGTTAAAACATCCATCTATCAATCTTCCCATTTTCATTGGCTTGACTGGGAAGAATTTTTAAAAGATAACATATGGAACAATCATGGCTTTAGAGAAAAGGACTTAAAATATTGAAAAGGTTTGCTTAAATCAGACTTTTCCTCAAAGAAAAAAAAAAAAAAAAAGTATGTTCTTAGGGTTATTATTTGATATATATACACATAGTGTTCCTAGTTGTCTCCAACCCTAATGTCAGGATTATCCATACTGATTAAAACAGTTAATAAAACTATAGAAACTTCTTTTTTTCCTAGTAAAATCCAACTTCACAGAATAACAGGAGAAACAAAACCTCCTTGCCCCCCTATATTGCCTGGGATAGAGGATCAAAAAAAAAAATTGCATTTCATATTACACAAATTTGCTTCTAAATTCTGTAAAACTTTTTAATAATTTTCATTTGCTATAAACAGGCAAACCTTTTAATGCCATATAATATCAAAATACAAGACAGTAATCTTCAGTCATAGAACCAGCCCTGCAAACTGAAGAGTGTGATATTTCATGAAGTGTCTCCAAATCCAGTGTCGATTCATTTCCAGGTGACAAAATAAAATGTTCAGGTCGTTTGACTACTAGTATTTTCTCCCCTGAGTATTATCCAGACAGTAGACTTGGCAGTACATTAATATCCTCACCCCTGAACAACAGCTGAAAAAATTGAATTTTTCCTTTACTGCTTTCAAAAACTTCTTGTTGAAGTAATATAGTTCAGGTGACACATACTTGAAGTAGAAGAACCCTTCACCTTTTTAACGATTTTGTCTTGTGGGGGAAATTTTGCAGCAGCTTAACCTCATCTAAAAACCATTCATGCAGCTTTTCAAGGTCACTGTTAATTGAGCAAATTTCTGTGTAAATGCTGATTGCWCAAAGCTAAGCTATCCAGGGCAGCACTAAAATACGAATCACATGCATTGATAAAGTGGTTGTCTTGAGTAGTAATTGATAGAATGACCTGTTTTGTGTTGCACTCCTGTTTTAGTTATTGCTTACTTCTTTTCTTCACTCTGATCCGTCACACCCGACATGCTCATATAACCATTTCATGGTCAAAAGTCACAAATGCGATATTCAAGTATTATATTATTAAAAAGTTTATAACAAACAGAACCAGGACTATAGTAAGGCCCATTTGAAAGAAGTGTATTTAACTTTGCCAGAGAGAAGCCGCCATTTTAAAGCAGTGTAGCACTTTGAGCTCTATGAAGTAAATTATTTATGTTTAGAAAGAACTTACCACGTAAAACTGTGAGTCTTGTGGACACACTTATTTCGCCAACACTGTTGGAAGCCACACATTCATAAATAGCTTCATCTCGTGGTGTGCGCAGTGGTTGTATTCTGAGTACTGATCCAGATCCATCATCAAACTCTATTACCTATAAAAGGAAACAAAAGCTGTCACAGATGTTGTTACAAATACCTATCCCTCAGTTAATCTGTTCATGAACAGTGGCCTGTTGGTATTCAAGTCACTGAAAACAGGTTTGTTTTTCAAATAGATGTACCAGGACAAAGTCCATACAAATGGGAAAATGTTTAAGCGGCAATGCCTTGGAAAATGCATTGCTGTTCAGTAAGTACTCGGCGGCWACTTTAATATAGCTTCAAGAAACACAGGAAAAAAAAAAAACAAACAAACAAACCAAACAAAATAACCCGCAAATAAGGGCTGTAAGAAAAAATTCTGTGACTTAATGCTCTGTTATCCTGAAGTTCACCACCAAAACCTTTCCATTCTCTTAGCTACAGTACTCTGCCTTCAAATGCCAGAGAGTGCAGCTCACTCATTCATTTGGCTCCAAAGTGAAAAACTGCAAATTCTAAACCAAGCAGAATGCCTCAGTTTAGAGGCATTTGTATTTAACCCACAGAACATTAAGTAATTTTTCCCAATGAAAGGACTATTTGGGAGACCACATAATAAGGCTAAACTTTTAAGATTTATTTTTAGAATTGCAATATTTGCACAAGAAGCAATAACTTTTATATGAGAAAATTCACTGAATAGATTTTATTTTCTTCTAGATCTGCAGTCAGAATCGCATAAAATATTGGTGAGTACTTCAATGCTTCAGGTAATGGAAAAGCTTTCTCWATAATTAAGTGATAGCAAAAATCTATTTAATCTGCTTTTTTTAAAAGAAATTTTARAAATTGCTGAGAGATAGCAGTTCTACCATCAGGTAAATGGCACTTAAAAGGAAAGGACAGTCCCAATTTTTAATTTTGTTTTTCTCTACAAAACAATAGTATCTGTGCATAATCTGTGTCTACATGGACATACATACATGCCTACCTGCACATCTATTTGAGTCTTTCTGGCTAATTTACACACAAGCAACCTATGACATCTCTGTCTATGAGAGTGAGAGAGTACAAATTTTGAAAATTTGTTGAAAAAGATATGCCTTTAACATTGCCCTTTTCATTGKAAGAATTTTCATTCCACTTAGCATTGGGAGAGGTGAAAGTAAGATAAAAATCCTGGGGTTTTTTTTATTATGAATTTGTTTGATAGCACACATTTTTTCTTGTTCTTTCAGCAAAGCCATTGCCTTACACAAATCTAGTAACATCATCTACCTGATGTTACCACAATTAAAAGAATAACTAGAATTCTTGATCAATTGACGTTTATGAGGGAAAGAAACATTTCCACCTTTAAGCAGYTGGACTAACAATTTATGAATAAAAGTGTCAGCACAGGATCTAAATACTCACAGACATACTTAAAAAATAATGACAATAAAATTGTTTAAACCTGAATGCTGAATAAACTTATCTTGATAGTGAATGAAAACAATTGCAGCAGATTGGGCTGGGCAAATATTGCAGAGATTAAGTTTCAAGCCTGATGTCTGAAAAATACGTACCACAAAAGGGATTTGTTCTTCATGTGATGAGTTCTCCCCTTTCCTGCATGTCACAGCTAGTTAATTCCTAACACTTCTCTGTCTACTGAATGAGATTTTATTTGTTTTGCGACAGAAATTCTTTTAATAAAAGCAGCCTTGCACACAGGGTAGAATGATGTAAATTTTTAACTTTTATTTTTCGCTATCTGCTCCTTCTTAAATTCCTCTGAGAAAGACTTCCTAGTAACWTAAAATAGATTTTTGTCATTCCTATTATTTGAAATAATTTGAAAGAAGAGGAAAAAAAAAAGAATCCTCATTCAGAGGATATATTTACAATATAAATAAAACCTGAAAGATTATCAATAGAGAAGACAAACAAGGTCTTACTGTAGATTTTAATTTCAGAAGCAATGCCTAGGTCTCACTACTATTCTCACTAAATTGTGAGAATTAGCTGGTGAGCAAGAACACTCAATGACAATAATCTTCAAATACATAAACAATCAAGAGAGAGGAAATAAAACATTTTTTCCTCAGTTGCTATGTACATCAAGTTACAGAAAAAGAGTTCTGGTTTTACGCAAGGGACAAATTATCATGACAAGTTTCATGAAATCCAGTAGAGGCCTGTCCAAGTTTATTGAATGATAAAAAAACTAACCCCTGGCACCCCCTTCCCCTGGGAAAGCTTCTGGATTGGATGGACCACTAGAGATCTTTACAGCTGTATTTACTATATGAAGACAGGTGTCCAGGTAAAACATTTTGATATCTTGTATCAGTAAGTTACTCAAAGAACTATCCRAAATAATTATGTGAAATATGTGAAATAAGAGGAAAATAAATTAAACTAATGATTTTCTTATTGGTTCAGCTAACAATTTCAGACATTTCTTGTTTCCCAAATGCTTCATATGTCTTTTTTTAATCTCATTGTTACTTTTGTTCTTTTCTYATTTAGAGATTCTATGGCATGAATTAATGGCCTTACTCTGAACAGGCAGAAAAGCTGCTTAAAATAATGATTTGCTCAGCAGACTTTGTAACTGCTCTGCTCAGTGAACATGATAAAAATTATAAAACACTTGGCAAGTGTCATCTATTTCTTTGAAATACATTCCATCTTACTTGGCTGTAGTTTTTTTTAAGCAGTCCACTAAAGAAATTTTTAAAACATTTTAAGGTGTTTTTCATAGGYGCATTCAAATAATTTTTATGGAAATAAAACTACTTTATTTTCGCTTCTTCTCCCTAAAAACAGGTACACARGTATCTAGAAAGCAATAAATTAAGGAAATAAACCACAACATATTGCAGAATAACACACAGTAAACATATGCATGCACTATCTTTCTCTGTTTAGAATTCACTTTGAGCGAACATTCTGTGAACAGAAGAGGATAAATTGCGTCAAATTTATGATAAAATTTCTATGTTAATCCCTCTAGCCAATTACAGCTCTGCATATGCTTGACATTTTTGGCATAAGGAAGTAACATTTAAATTCATGACTTTATTTTTCATGTTGTAGTATATACACAAGCCAAAAATTGTAATTAATGAACAAAAAACAAATTCCAATGCTGTTAGATATTTCTCTGAACCAAAAATTAATAAAGTAAATTTTGTTTACAGAAGAAATGCAGTTCTTCTAAATAAAACTAACCTGAAAGCCAGGCCAAGCAATCTTCACAAATATGACAATAAATTAATACAGAGGACGTAGATATTCAGTCACTTGTTAATAACTGTATGTTAGATAATTTGCTCATAAAATGGCTATCTTTTAATTAATAATTATCTAAAATATCTATTTAATTAATAATTTTAAATTAATCTTCCAAAGAGTTGTTTTTAAGGAAACAGAAGTCTGTTATTTAACAGTGAAAACATTTAAGAAACACTTATACACTCTTAGTGTCAATTTTGGTATCTCCTAAAAGCTTTCCCCCATTTTCTGAGATTTTTCTTCATGTTAAAAGTCAATCTGTATTTGACAGTAATTACTCTGGCCACTACAAGAGGGAATAACACTTGTTTTCTTATTTCCCCCAAATAACCAGAATCCTTTGAGCAGATTATTTTCACTGCTTCCTTTAATTGAAGGCTGTAAAGAGAAGCATCTTTAAGCTTTTTCCTAAATTATTGTTAAGATTCAAAAGCAAGCAAGTTTTACTTTTCCTCCTCAGCCGCCGGAAAAGTGCCCCTTGCATCCCTGTCCTCATAGGGGTAAGGAATTGTGGCAGCAGAAGCAGTCACAGACCAGGCCTGCTCGCTGCACCTTGTCACCAAAGGAGGTGGTTTGCCCTCCAGAGACAGCAATCACTGCTCAACCTATGTCCCCAGCAGCTCCTTCCCGAGACAGCAAACTCAACAGAGACACCACAAAGCACCTCAGTTTGGCCATGCTAACTTAGGAAACAGCAGCAGCAGTTTTCTCTTTAATGGTTCTATGCAAAACCAGTTTTGAAAACAAATACTTCATGAGACTGCTCCCGCAAAATTATCCTTGATAGTCAATGCTATGCTGCTAAATCACTCTTAATAAAGCACACACACTAGGATTAAAAGCAAGATTGGAATAAAATGTTTTTCAGAGGAACAGAACAATGGACCTAATACCTCAAATCTCTGATTGCTGACTTTCTTTCCTTTTTTGTTCCAGACAATTTTAGGTCGTGGATCTCCTGTGGCTTGACAGATGAATGAGGCAACTCCTCCTGAAACTCCTGTCTGGTCAACGGGAGTTCTTGTAAACTTTGGTGGTGCTGAAATGAACAAAAAAATTGATCAAATTAATCCGAACAGTAAGCAAAACAAAAAAATTAAGTCACATCAAGATTTGAAAATTTAAAAATAAGGAAATGCCTTGTTTCTTCAGTGGTATCATTCACCTTCAAGAGAAAGCACTAAAAATCTCCCAAAAGGTCAGGAAAGTACTTCCAGATTTTACTAGTGAAATTTATATTAAAAACGAAATCTGATGGCATTGGAATAGCAAGATCACACATTATATTTTATCACCATTATAAATAAAAAATCCAATTTGACTTCTGTTGCAAAAATGAGCTCATCAATCAACTGTAATAATATCATGGTTCACCACTTGATGCTATGATCACAAGGTGTCATGAATACATGATTCTCACCTTTGAGACATTAAAATTGAGACAATAAAAAAAGTGACATTTAGGAGAAAGCATTTGTAAGTTTGCATGGTGGAGGTAAATTACTATGTTTCAAGAGTCCACACAGAAAGGACTGTAACATAAGTGAGATTTATGCTTGGGCACAGTTCTGTGTATAGCTCCAAATTCTACTCTGCCAGAAAGGAGAACTAAAAAAAATCCAATTGCAACAACAGGAGAGGAGAGAGCAATGGAGAAACAATTTTTAAAGTATGAAATGGCATTTTAATGAATTATTCTCCTTCCCTTTATTTCTGCTACAATGAATTGAAATTAATTCATTATTTGATTTGTGGTGAGACAAAATTTTCAAACTTAGAGCAACACAAGACATGACTTCTAAATATATAATACTGAAATCTGTAAGACAKCACCTAAAGAGAGAACAAAAATGTTGAAGAATTCCTGTAAGTATTTACACTTCATTCTCTTTCTTAGCCATAAAATTTCTGAAGAACCAATACACCTTCAGATTCTGATTTAAATTATATGTAAGAACTTAGGGACAATAAGTAGTAAAAAGCGTAGGTCTTTGCTATGAAGCCTTCCTCAGTTGTAGGTGCTCTATAGCATCTGTTGCAATTTATTTATGCTCTTATCTTCAAACATCAGCAGTCAGCTTCTCTATGTTTACTACCTCTTTTCTTCTCTTTCCTCTCTTAGTTCTGACAGGAATGTATCTGTACTGTACTAGTTTTCATTTCTAAGTTGCTGTTCTTTGATTCTGATGCCTAACCCCTTATTCTGCAAAACTGGTCTTTCCACAGGCACCATTTCTTGTCAGCACGTTTATTTGAATGGAAGAAACCCAGCAGACTACAGTCACACATGTATGCAACACTGGAATTAATCCTGAAATAGTTTAAGATGTCAAGATGCCATACTACAAAATGAAATGAGGGTGGTTTTAACCCTACCCCTAATGTAAAAAAAGCATTTAAAAAAATACAATATTCCCAAAAATCTGCATTCTCTTTTCTTCATTAAAAATATCAGGAAAATGCATTAGTTCTTAACATTTCAGAATGCTCACAGGTGCTAGAACTATCTACTCTGCTAATTTTCCTAGTGAAAACGTACCTAAACCCAATTGCAAGAGCACATATCAGCAAAACAGTATACTCCTACTGCCATGGGGAAATAATAAAAGAACTTCTCTGATGTGGAAAATTGACAAAACCATAGCAAATAAAACACACCCAGAGCAAAGGAATTAGAAACCTTTCCCAAGCCACTGGACCACAAAAAGGACAAAAATGTATTCTGATGAAGAGCATCTGGCTTTCACCAAAACTGCTGTCTTTGAACCCTTCGTATGTATGTTTCAATTCAGCACTTTGATATGTAAAGAGACTTGACTGAATCTGATACACTGACATTCTGTGGCACAAGTTGTGATTGTGTGCCATCAGGTGAAAAATGACACACTGCCATTTTTTTTTCTTTTTTTTTTTTTGACATTTTGTGAATTTACTGTTAGAACTCAAGCCACTGAAAGAGAAACACTTCATGAGGAAGTCCAAAGTACAGTAGCTCACAGGCAGCAAATAGGACACATAGAAATAAATTAAATTAAAAATCTTCCACCAAACAAAACTGTTGCTAGAGGTACAACCAATTTTCAATGTTTTATTCATGTAGAACTGGCCAAAATGTGGTAAAGGACTATAAGCCGCCACGACTCCTTAAAAAAATTGCTTACTAGCTCCTGCAGAGCATTATCTACATCATGGAGTTGCAGAAATAGGCCTAAATACTTAGCATAGCTCCAGCTACCTGAAAACCAGTATTTTTTAAGTCCCATGTAAATTTTTGCTGGACCAACAATTAGTAAAGCTGTTGTTTTATAACTGTGTAGCATAAGAGACAAAAATGAAGGCAGTTGTACATTATAATGCCATTTCCAACTTGTGGACATTTTTCAAGGGAAACCAGGTTTTAAGGTTGCATATAAAGACCATTTTCTTGTATGATGTGACTAATATTATCTATCTACATCAAACAAGAAGCTTCACAATCAAATATAGAAGTGAACTGGGTGATCATTGTCATTCACTTAGACTATAACCTAGCTGAAAAAAATAAGGCATATATCTAGTCAAAACTTCTTTTTATATAAGTAATTCATTCCTATAAAAAAATGCCACAATTCCTCTCCAATACACAATCCTGGAAGTAAGACAGCTATCCTTCAGGTATCATATGATATTGGAGAAGATAAATTATTATTAGAGCATAGATATTTTTTTCTGAACAGGAAGCTTATAGTAGTCCCGTACATTTTGGACATTTTAATGCATAAAACAGCTGGTTTTAGCAGGTCATCTTTAAATTCGCAAAATCAAATTTAGTTTGAAAAACCAACTAATTCTCCTCTTCAGGCTCTGCAGGTGCACCAGAAGGATAAAAATGTCTGCATGTTTAATAAGTGCTGCAAGGATAAATTGATTTATGGTCAAAAGATACTCAGGCTGTGGTGATCATGGCCAGCCAGCCACAGAGACAGGGAAGTATAATACAATCCCTCTTTTTATTACTCAGTTAACACGTTCATCTTGTTACGTACAAGACAAACACCATCAGTGTAAGGGTATGTAAAATCATAACCCAGCAGAAGCAAAAATGAAAAGTAGTATTTGTTGCCTTTATCTTTATAAAGGCTGTTAATTAAGGTTTGACACAAATTATCCCCACAATTAATGTTGTCAGTTTCTTGACATTGATTGTGACCTAAGCAGCTAGGCACTCTGATAGCAAACACAATTAAACTGCACACACAGTTGTGCTTATTAACATGAGGGCAATTTTGATTGAGAACTGACAACAATTTTCGATCTCCCTTAACAACAGCAGTGCATAGTTCAAGAAAAACTCTCTGCAGCACAGTTCATTAAACACAGCAACAGTCTATATGGGAACTTTCCACTGCAATTAAATCTGCCAAAAAAAGAAGATGTAATATGTTACCAACTATGGTACCAGAGTCTTTCAGCACTTTTGGAACTCTACTTGGAAACATTTCAGTAAATGCAATCAAAATAACAGAAGTGCAATTAAAATAAGTGAAATGCATTTAAAATCAGCATCTCATATTTCTGCACTTGAATTCTGTTGAGGCCATTGTCAAAATTGTTGCAGTATTATCTTTTAAATGCAAAACACACAAGTTTTGCTTGTTTCAGCTTGTTCATAAACCAGTGCCTACTCAGATATTCATACTAATACTGAATTTTGATACCTTATCAAGCTAAAACACACACACACACACACAGACACACACACAAAAAAAAAAAAAAGAAAAAGAAAAAAAAAAAAGAAAATTACAGTAGAAAATAGCAATAACTTGAATTTGTGAGGAGTACCACAAGCTTTGTCATTCAAAACCTGAGGGTTTCCCTACTGTCTGCTACTTGGTACGCACTTCTTGCTGGGACTCTTGAGAAGCCCAAGATTTATTGAACTACTGAAAATTACACTCCTAACATATGAAATAAAACTGAGTTTATTGCTAGCTTGCCTTAAATACATTGAGCTTTCATTTTTAAAGAGCTTAAACCATAGGAAGTTAGGCTGTTTCTTCATCAGTCAAGCTGTCCCTTGAGGAGGGACAGAAACTTTTGAAATTGAGGTAGCTCACCACTATCCATAAAGAAGTGTAGTTTTTTGCACATCAGGGCTCCATACGACACTAAAATAACTCATTTTGATTGAAACATTTGAATATGCTGGCATGAGAGTAAGGTATCTCTTTCTTCTCTTCTGTGCCTCCACATTGTCTTTTAAGTAGAATTTTGAGATAGTAAATGGAATTAATTAATTCCATTATATTTTATCATGTTATGGAATTATCAGTTTTAAAGTTGCAGTTCTGTTCTCTGTGCTGTGCTTTAAGGATATGTAATACTTGTCCTCTGCACTAAAATATTGGACAAAATACTTTTGAAATTACTACTTCAGCCMCGTTCTTTCCAAAGCTACTGTGAACTAATCTTCTGTAGAGACATTTTCATGGACAGATTTCTCTAATTAAAAGATGAATAAGAGGAGAAGAGTTCACCTTCCTTAAAGCAAGAACCAATGGGATGTCTGCAGTCCAACTATAGCTAGCTCGGCATGTGGACTTACTACGGACAAGATCTATAGACGATGCAGACCCTAATGCATTTGTTTTTAGATTCTTGGTTTAGGGTGTATGAAGTTCCTAGTATATAATAATTCAATTTACGATTAAACTTCATCATATGCTTGAAATATGAGAAGGTTTACTAGCTCAGAATAAAAATTGCCAAAAATCGTATCATAATGTATCCTTTGTAAGATTCATAGAAAGGGTTAATAAAGTAATAAAGACATCAGAAAAAATTAAAATGGTTAAGATGCTTCTTACAAATGCCCTGTTAACTTATAAACTAACACATATTTAAGGACACTTCTTAAAAAATTAGAGCAACTTTTTCAGTTATAAAGACTCATTTTGTAGCAATGATAGTTGGAAGATGATAACCACAACTATTCCCATGAAATGTTTTCAGTCAGATTCAGAAATATAGGTTGAGGGCAGAGTAAACGATGTGGTCTGG